ACACTGATTACATGTTTGTCTCCTATGAAACCAGTTAAAGACAGAGTTAAGGTTTTGGGATTTACTTCTTCAAGCTAATGGTTTAAGAAGCCAAGTAAGATATCAAAAGCATCTTCTTAAAGACCACTTTATTTACTTCCTCAAATCAGAAAACATCATAAACTTAGGAAATTATCTGAAGAATACTTGCTTAAAATAAATTATTTGAAAACAGCATGTGTCATATATATAATATATTAGAAGAGCTTAGTTTCCCACTCATTATTGATAGTTCAGATAGCATTCAACTTGCATGTTTGCATTTTGGAGAACAAATGTTATAATTAATGGGTAAATATACAGACATCAATGAAAAGTAAATTCAGAGATAAAACAGCTAGTGAAGAATAACTCACCTTTCTTCCTGCTTCATCATGCATAACATGCCAACAGCATGATCTCAAGGCTATATCATTAATGAAAAGAAAGATCAACTTTAATGGTGCAATCTGTTCCCCAATAAATTTGGGTATAAATCAACAGATAGCTTAATAATTGCATGAAAACTGATGCTTTGCCCGAAGCCACCACCAAGTACTTGCATAAACTGCATACGAACAGGTATTTTAAATATCATACACAAGCAATTAGCATTGTTTATTCAGAAATGAGAGAATATTTTCTTTCTAATTAAATTAAAGAACTAATACCGTTTTTGTCCAAATATGTAATGCGTTAGATACCATAAGGTAACATCTAAAAAAAAAAAAGGGTACTACCAAGACAAACATGCAATGGTGCAAAAGAATCAAATCAAATTGACTCAATAGTCTAGTTTTCTTCTCAATTCTTCTGTTGATGGAAAGGCTGAAAACCTCCACTTTACACAGTATGAAGACCTACCCAATATGTCTCAGGCTTTGTTCCAAATCAAAACCACACTTTCCTCCTCTGTCAATGGTTTCTACTACGCCAGTTGTACAACATTTTATCTCCAGACCTTGCTTTATCAGAAACCATAATCAGCACAGAATCCACCAAATTATTTGAACGTAAAAACTGAGAGTCCTCTTCAGCCACCAAGGGAATAAAGAGGAACAATTTACTCAGTTCTACACCAACAATACAAAAGGGACCGAAACAGAATTTTGCTTCACAAGTCACTAAAAAACTTTTAACTGTTAAAAAAGAAAAAAAGAAGAAGAAGAAGAAGAAAGAACAAGGTCTTACTGCTAATATATTTCATCCAGCCTTAATTCTTATTTCTTACTGCATATGAACAAAAACAATATCATAAATGCAGCGGCATTAA